AATTAATATATCCATCACCCACAGCAGTCTCCGTGTGCCCCTTCATAGTTTCTTATTAAGAAATGGCTAAACTATTTTCCAAAGAGTCTCCAAAAAGACTCTAAAGAGAGTATAGTACAGTTTTACTTGCTCTGTATCATCATAAACACTTTGTGTTATCATTTTTTAAATTTTGTTACTATTCTGCCTGGTGCGTATTGTGCGTATCATTATGGTTTTAATGTGCAAAAGTTACCCTGATGACTAACAATGTTGAGCGTCTTCCCATGTGATTATTTGTCATCTGTACATCTTCTTTGCTGAACTGTCTTTTCAAATCTTTTGCCTTTTGAAAAATGATGTCATTTGCTTTCTCATTTATTGAGTTTTGAGAGGTCTTTCTATATTCCAGATACCATTTCATTATTAGCTGTGTTTTTCACACAGCTAATATTTCTAGTTTGTGGCTTGTCTTTTCCTTCTCTTAATAGTATCTTTTGAAGAGCAGAAGTTTTCAGTTTCAGTGAGGTCCATTTTATGTTTTCATTTGATTAGGAATTGTGCATAGTCATAGCTAAGAAATCTTTGCCTAGTGCAAGGTCACAGAGATTTTCTCCTATGCTTTCTTCTAGAAGTTTCATAGCTTTTTCTTACATTTAGACCTATCATCTGTCTTGAGTTCCTTTTGATTAATGGTTTGAGGTATGGATTCAAGCTCATTTTTTGAAAATGGATATTCTGTTGTTCTTTCACTGTAGGCTGAAATGGCTATCCTTTCTCCACTGCATTGCCATGTGCCTTTGTCAAAATATGTTGGTTGTGTACGTGTGGGTCTATTTCAGGACTCCATTGTGTTCCATTGATCTGTGAGTGCTTCTCACATCCCGATAAACCTATCATAAGAAGTCAAAAATCCATTTAATGTGCCAATAAACCCATCATAAAGTTGAAAATTGTAAGGCAAAACATCTTCAGTTGAAGATCATCTGTGTTTGGCTTTCATTATACAGTTTGAGCATCTATTTTCCAAAAATATGAAATTTGAAATGTTCCAGAATTTGAAACTTTTTGAATATCAACATGACTCCACAAGTGGAATATTCCACTCCCAGTCTTATGTCTAAAAACTTTGCTTTATGCACAAAATTATTAAAAGGTATTGTATAAAATTATAAGGCTGTGTATATAAGATGCATATCAAACATAAGTGTATTTTGTATTTAGACGTGGGTTCCATCCCCAACATCTCTCATGATGTATATGCATATATTTCAGAATCTGAAAAAAATCAAAAATGGAAAACATTTCCAGTCCCTCACACTTTTATAAGGGATATTCAAACTGCACCCGTATCACACTGCTTTGATAACTATAGATTTATAACAGTTCTTGAAATCAGCCCTCCAATTTTGTCTTTTTTTAAAAAGTTATTTTGGTTGTTCTAGATTCTTTGCATTGCCACATGAATTTTACAGTCAGCCTGTCAATTAAAAAAAAAAAATCCAGGTTGCCTTCTGGGAATTAGATCGGGATTGTGTTGAATCTGTAGGTCAATGTGGGGAGAATTCACATCTTCACAATAATGAATCTTTCCACTTCTGAACCACTTGTATCTCTCCATTTGTATAGGTCATATTTCATTTTCTCAGTAATGTCTTGTGGTATTTAGTGTATAGGTTCTTCCCTGTGATATCAGACTTATCAGTATTTCGTTTTTGATGAAGTTGTAAATGATATTTTTAAAATTTTGATTTGATTGTTTATTGCTAGTATGTAGAAATACACTAGATTTCTGTATGTTGATTTTTTAGCCTGCAACCTTGCTAAACTCACTTATTAGTTCTAGTAGCTTGTTTGGTAGATTCAGTGATATTTCCTACATAGATCAAAGGTTGTGAGGGCTTTTCTTTTTCTGACTATTCTGTTGGTAAAGATAATAAATTTTAGACCTGTGTCAAAGCGGTCTCTGTCGCAGCTAATCAGCTCTGCCACTGCAGTGTGAGACCAGCCATGGCTAATTCACATCAATGAACACAGCCGCATTCCAGTAAAACTTTATTTACACAAACAAGAAGCTGACCCACAGGTTGGAGTTTACCCACGCCTCTTACGGGATCATGGCTGTAAATAAAGACAGTTCTACTTCTTCCATCCTACCTGGATGCCTTTTATTTCTTTTTCTTGCCTCACTGCACTGGCTGGAATCTTCAGTACCATCCTGAATTAAAGTAGTGAAAGCAGACATTTCTGTGTGGATCATATGGAGAAAGCATTCAGGTTTTCCCTATGGCATATGTTAGCTGGAGGTTTATTAGAGATGCTGTTTTTCAAGCTGAAAAAGTTCCCTTGTATTTTTGGTTTGCTGAGAGGGTTTTTTCATCAGGAATGAGTGTTGAATTTCATCAAATGCATTCAACTACTGAGGTGATTATATGTTTCTTCTCTTTTAGTTTCTAATATGGTGAATAACAGTGCTTTCTGAATGTTAAACCAACCCTGTGGTCCTGGGATAAACCCCATTTGTTTATAATGTATTATCCTTTTAATGTGTCATTGAATTTGATGTGGTAAACTTGTGTTTAGAATATTTTTAGACTTCACTTTTAGAACAGTTTTAGGTCCATGGCAAAACGAAGAGGAAGGTACAGAGATTTTCCATGTACCCCTGCTCTCACACATGCACAGCCACCCCAATATCGATATACTTCACCAGAGTGGTACACTTGTTCTGATTGATGAACCTACACTGACGCATCATAATCACCCAGAGTCCATAGTTTGCATTAGGGTTCACTCTTGTACGTTCTATGAGTTTAGACAAAGCTATGAAAACGTCTATCCATCATTATAGCATCATACAAAGTATTTTTCCTGCCCTAAAAATCCTCTATGCTCCACATATTATCCTTTCCTCTCCTCCCCAACTCCTGGAAACCACTTACCTTTTTACTGTTATCCATAGATTTGCCTTTTCCAAAATGTCATATCATTGGAATCATACTGTATGTAGCCTTTTTGAGATTGGCTTCTTTCACTTGGTAACATGCATTGAAGGTTTCTTCATGTCTTTTCATGGCCTGATAGCTTATTTATTTTAACACTGAATAATGTTCCATTGTATGGTTGCACCAGAGTTTATTCATTCACCACATGGAGGATATCTTGGCTGCTTCCATGATGGTTGGATTTTTACATCCATGCTCATGAGGGAGTTTTGTTTTCTGTAATATCATTGTCTGGCTTTGATTCAGGTAATGCTGACATTATAGAATAGTCCTCCTCTTTATTTTGCAGGGAGAGTTTGTGTAGAATTATATTATTTTTTTCCTGGAATGTTTGGTGGAATTCACCAGCATAGGATCTTTTCTTTTCTTCTCTTTCTACTATCTTTGGATTAGTCAAGTAATTATTTCTAATCTAATTTAGGTTTGTATCTCTCTCTGTTTTTTTTTTTTTTTGGCTGACTAGCTATAACTCTTTGTTTTGCAATTTTAGTGGTTGTTTTCGGATTTCTAGTATGTGTTGATTTAGAGTTATCACAGTCCACTTTACTCAAGTAAAAGTATACCACGTCGTGTATGCAATAAGAAAATTACAACAGTATACTTTCATTTTTTTTCTCCCAGCCAGATTACGAATCTGCGGAATTAGTTTTCATTAATTTTAGAAATTTTTGGCCATTTTTTCAGCAATTTTTGTCTGTTATTTTCCTCCCTTTCTTGGGTTTATATATTAGCTGCTTGAAGTTTACTCATAGATCATAGATGATTCGTACTGAAGGAGATTTTCTTTCGTGCTGTCTAATCTGTGTATGTTTTGATCCAGTATAGTTTTCTTCTCTCACAGTGTCATTTGCATCTGCATAAGTGCCATTTGGTTTATCAAAAATGTCTTCTATGTTTCTACTTGTCTTTTTGAGCTTTATATTGGGATAGAGTTGAGTTACTTTAGGCAGCTTGATTCTTTCTGGTCTTGCTTTTATGATTTGAGCTAATCCCCCACTCCTGAGGTAAGACACTTTTCATGAGTCACTGTCTTGTGAAGTCTGAGTTTTTCCAGCCTGGCTCATGGGAATGGATGCTCTCCCTGCCCTGTGTGAGCCCCAGGCAGAGTTTCCTCTAATTTTTTCAGATGGTTTCTTCCCTTGGTCTTGAGTAGTTTCTTAGCACACAGGCACTGGTCATCACTCTGCTAAATACCTGAGGGGATCTCTGCAGGTCTCCAGGGTTTTGCTGTACTGCTGTCTCCTCTCCAGGGTCTGTCCTGTGCTCTCTGTCTGCGTTGGTATTCCAGACTCTCAGTTTCATCACTGTCGCTCAGGGAGTGTGGTAAACTCTACCTGAGTTTTTTCTCCCTGTGTCATGGCCTGGGAACTCTGTTAAGGCAGGGGGCTGGGGCATTCCTAGGGGTTTTTTCACTGGTTTCCCACCTTTCAGGGATTATTGTTTTCATTGCCTGAAGTCCACTGTCATGAAAATTATTGTTTTATCTGTATTAGTTTTGGTTGTTTCAGGTAAGAAGAAAAATCAGTACATGTTACTCCACCTTGGCTAGAGGCAGATTGCATTAGAGCTTCAGCACATGCCGTCAACTGGCTAGAATGCTTTTCTTCACCCTTTGCTTAACTGCTTTCTTCTCATCCTTCACTTCTCAGTGTAGCGGTCTCTTCCTCAAAGAAGTCTTCCCTGGGCTGAATGTGCACCAAATTCTCCTATATGATCATAGAACTCTGTTTTCTTACAACCTCTATCTGAATTTAAAATTCTCACTTTTTCTGTCTGTTCTTCACTACACTTTAAGCTAACCAAGAGCAGAGGTCTTGCCTGTTTCTTCTGCAGAACTTAGTATTAATATAATGTCTTCCACATTGTATGATACACACACACACACCTACCTCTCTTTAGTGTATGAATGAGTGAATGTTAAAATACATAGCCCTTTATATCAAAAAAGTACTCATCTATTTCATTTCTATATTTTTTCTTCCTGATCTAGATTCTGTTAGCTTACTGAAAATTCAGGATGCATTTCTTTCATGTCAAGCATTATTAGAACATAAAAGAGATCACTGTGAACGACTTACAAGAGAAATGGAAAAAATGGAAAATACAGTTCGTGTCCTACAACAGGAGCTATCTGAAACAAAAGAAGTCAAATCACAGTTAGAGCATCAAAAAGTAGACTGGGAACGAGAACTCTGCAGTTTGAGGTATGACATCCTAATTTTAATGTAGTGTTTGAATTATGTACACTAGACTAAAAACACACAGGAGAATTTCTGTAATTGCTGATTAATTGTAACTTAACTTCTGGGGTTTAATGGGGAGAAATCTTAATCCTGTGGAGTGTCAAATTCTTGAAAAAATATTAGTACAACAATTCCTTAACTGTGAATATGTCTACAAATAATTAAATGCATGTTATTTTAAATCATAATTTTCATGGCTATATAGAAGTCTACCATTTGGCATCTCAAATTGAATTTTGTGTTTTTAAGTTTTTGGTATTATAATTAACCTGCAAGGAACATTATATAAATCCTTTTCTACATTTCAAATGATTTCCTTTGAATAAATCCTTCAATATAGAATGATTTGATTAAAGTATAAGAATGTATCCAAAAAAGTCTTTGATCAATATTTCTACCTTGTTTTCAAGAAGGTTTATATTAATTTACAATTCAACCAATACAGTATGAACTGGCCATTTTTCTCAACTCGGAATAGACTCCCTAGCCTAGTCTTGGATTATAGTAATGTGCAGATACATGTTGTGTGAAAGACCTCTGAAGGTGCTCTCTTATACTGCAATTCATTTTTAGGGATACCTGCACTATATCATGAAGATGAAAATTTCTTTCTAGTGAATTTGTAAACTTGTTTATAAACAGTGACTTTTTAATTAGTTAACTCTAAATGATCTGTCCCAGTTGAGGAGGAGTTATGTCTGTGTGAACAAAAAGGTAATTGTCAACTTGTAACATTAGCAAGTAATTTGCACTATCATTTTCTGTGATATTTACCAGAATGACTAGTAACAGAAACTTACCGGTTAGCAGGATGTTCTTTCATGAATGCCTTTCAAATATATATGTCCTTTGGAAGACACTGAAGTGAGAAATTAAAAACCTGAAAACTAGAAAGGAAAAATGTTCAAGAACACAGAACTTGTATTAGGATAATAAACCAACATATGAAGAGCCACATCACAAAATAAACTTTTCATTTTCTAACAAAACAACTTTTAAGATAAGTATATTTAACTGCAGATTTACCTTAGAACAAGAAAAAGAAAAGAGGAGAGTTGTTGATACAAGATACCAAAAACTGGTGGAAAAATTAAGAAAGAAAAAAGAGCAATACAGGAGTGAAGCTGAAATGGAACAGCAGCTTGAACAGACTATGAGAACACAAGATGGGGAACTGAAAAGTGAAGAAAATAATTTGAATGAGGTAAATTAATCTTCCGTAAAAATTTTTCATTTCATCAATATTAATTATAATATTCCTTTGATTTAATATATGTGTTATTTAGGTCTAAAACAAGCCAAAAATATTATGTCACCTTAAGAATGGACTATGACATTTATAGTTAAAATTATTTAGTATAGATCTTGGCCTCCAAGTTGTATTTTCTTTTAGTACAGAGAGCTTTTGAAAAGAATGATATACCATAATATATACTTAGTGATCATTTATTGATAAGTATTTTGTTTCTAGTAAAAATAATTAATCATATTTCCCCCATTTCACATTTATTACTGTTTCAAACATAAACAGAAAACAAAAGTTACTGCAATAGCGAATAATCTCATAATTGTCTAAGAAGAGTTCTATGGATTTTATCGTGTTTATTGTTAGTGTTTTGAAATATAAGGGTTCTTTTGTATGTATTTATTTGTTTATACCACAGAGGTAACTGATTTGGTGGAGGGGCTCTAGTAGAGGTAGAGTCAGAAGATTTGGGGAAAATCCTGCAAATTACTTATATTTTTAACCTCTCCTCTTCAGAATTGTGATAACTAAATGAGTTTACTGATGTAGGTAGAAGTGATTACTACAATGCCAGATTTATCATTTATTAGTAAATGCAATTCTTATAACTGACTATGAATATGTTAGAAAAGCAGAATATGTGTAGAATATTCTCTTGAAAAAGGACCATAAGGAATTTAGGGAAATTTCATCTGTCCAAACATATGCAGAGCTAAGGCTCTTACTATGGGGTGGTATATAGCTTAGATATCAGAATGTAAAGCCAACTTTTTTTTTTGAGACAGAGTCTCACTGTGTTGCCCGGGCTAGAGTGCCGTGGCGTCATCCTAGCTCACAGCAACCTCAAACTCCAGGGCTCAAGCGATCCTCCTGCCTCAGCCTCCCGAGTAGCTGGGACTACAGGCATGCACCACCATGCCCGGCTAATTTTTTTTTCTATATATTTTTAGTTGTCCAATTAATTTCTTTCTAATTTTAGTAGAGATGGGGTCTCGCTCTTGCTCAGGCTGGTTTCGAACTCCTGAGCTCAAACAATCCACCTGCCTCGGCCTCCCAGAGAGCTAGGATTACAGGCGTGAGCCACCGCGCCCGGCCTAAAGCCAACTTTTTAACGTAGTCAAAGATATTAGTCTCTTATGTCTTTGAGTTTTTAGTAATTCAGAGAAAGCTTATTCCAATTCTGAGATTCTTAGAAATTCTCTACTTCTTTTGTTTGCTTTCATGGATTCATTGTCTTCAAATACATTTTTGAATTTTTATGCATTCATAGTCTGAGGTTTTGATCCAACTTTTTGTCATGTTAGATATCCATTTATTGCAACCTTTTCATTGTATGACAGTGTAAGTTATTCTTTAGTTTCACAGAAAATAATGATATGTCATTTTATTGAATGCTAGCTAAAAGTTTCCTTTGTTTTACTTAGATTTCTCATATTTGTGGACAAGAAAAAGATCTATTGTATGAAAATCGCATGTTGCAGAATGCAAATACCAGGCTAAGAATGGAAACAGATATGTTAAAAACACAAAACCAGGAAAAGGAAAATAAATATTTGAAGAACATTACAGTACTAAAAGAAAAGACTGATGACCTTCAAAAGACCGTACAAGTGAATGGGGAAAGAGTAACAAAAATGATATCCCAGTACAGGGAACAGCTCAGTCTTCTGACAGCTGAGAACACAATGCTAAATTCTCAGCTGCAGAATGAAAAACAAAACAAGGAAAGACTGGAAGCAGAGGTTAGATCCTACCTCCATAGCATGGCTGCTGCTAGAAACATTCGTGACCAAACTCGGGCATCAAAAAGAGACCTAGAGCTTGATTTCCAGAAGGCAAGAGAGAAGTGGTCTGGTTCACAAGAAAGTTTGAATTCTTATGCTAATATTCTCCTTCAGAAACTTTCTGAAGCAGAAATGAAATTCTGTAGCCTAGAAATTGAGTTCTATGACACAAAAGATGCTCTCAAACAAAAGACTTTGGATTTAGAAAATGTGCAAAGAGAACTAAGCGAAACACAGTGTCAAAAGAAGGAAATAGAACTGATGTATAAAAATGAACGATGTAAAGTCAATGATTACACTGTGGAGAAGGAATCGGTACAGGAGAGATTATCTCTACTAGAAAGCAAAAATCTGTTGCTTCAACAGCAACTCAATCATGCTCAGAACACAGCTAATAAGAAAGAAAAGACAATAACTGATCTCCAAACCCAATTTCTGGCTATTATAAAAGAACTTCAAGCTGAGAGTGAACAGAAAATTCTTCTTCTAGAAGAGAGAAATAAAGACTTATCCGATGAATGCAATCATTTAAAAGAAAGACAATATCAATATGACAAAAAGAAAGCAGAAGAACAAGTAAGTATCAAGAAAGATAAATATTTTTCCAACTTCCTGAAAGAAAATTTAAAGTAATATTTGGTTATGGCTAAATGTTGAATCTAGTTGAATTCTTACAAATTGTTAATCAAAAAAGACTAATATCAATAATGTGTCTTATGCTCCTGAAATTATAATGTCAATGTCTTTATGTTGGCACATTTTAAGATGCTGATGAAGCAGATAACCAGAAATTCTCATACCTGAAAAGAGTATTTTGAAATTAAGATTTAATTAAGTGGGTTACTTTTATGTTTATTTCCAGATTTCCCAGATGAACTGAAGTGTATTGATGTATCTTGTAATACTTCTCCTTCTGTAGCTTTGCTATATTTTAGTTGGTATAATATTTTATTTTTGTCAATTTGACTTCAACCTGAAGAGATGTCAGTCTCAAATGGTGTACTTTTATGACCTCTCAATTCTTTAAAGCCGTCTACTTTTAATTAAATCATACTTTGGAACAAATGTGGTGAATTTTAGCAAAATCGTATTTTATTTAATCTTCCCAGTAATATTTATATTTAATAATTTATTTTGAATATTTTAGAAATAATTTGCTCATAATTTTTTGTTTCGAGGCTCAAAGGCCTTGAAACTTGGATACAGTGGATATAACTTTTTCCGTGAGAAGAATAATTATAACTATCTGCCACTTACTAGTTTGGCATTGGGTCCCCATTTTCAGAATGGCAAGGGGTGGCAGGATTCACATGCAGCAGGAATGCAGTGAGTAGGGGAGAGAGTTGTAGGAGCTGAAGTCAGGGAGGGAGGTGGGAGCCAGGTTACCTGGGGCTTTGAAGACCATTAGAATTTTAGCTTTATTCTGAGATAGGAATCTAGTAAAGAACCTTAATAAAACTCCGGAGGAAAAGTATTTCACGGCATAGAATTTACCCCCACTAGTCACACCCACATGTTTATTTCTTTATGAGACTTCAGTAGGCTGATAAGCATTTCGTATTCATCTGGGGACAACTCAGTGAACCGAGTCTCTTGTCTAAGTAACAGAACACCAATTTAACAAGAAGATAACACCTTCTGTGTCCTTAACCGACTTAACTGATGAACAGGAATGTGTACCCATGAGGAAAAGAAGGTGAATTGTTGTGTGTGGTGATATTTTTCCAAAGCATATACTTTAAAGTTAAATATTATTAATATAATTTAATAGAAAGGTGAATTATCAGTAACAAAAATATCTTATTAGGTTTCTGTGAGAGAACTTGAGAAACAACTGGCTGATATACTAGAAAAGTTCTCCAGGGCAAGCAGAGGCCTCAGTGGAGATTATAGCACGTCACACGTTCCTTTAGAAGACAAGGCACAGGTTTCAAAGAAGAAATTTGATGGAATCACAAAAAAAGTACGTACGAAATTTAACATGTCAGCAGTTCATCTATAGCTGGTTCAATAATGTAAAGTGTTTTAGGATACTAGTTTCAGTGAACAGCTTTCTTTTCTACTTTCTTTATAATTAATTTTATTAAAATTTTATTATCTTTCCAGTGCACTTATTTCTTAAACTCTGACTTTCGCCCTGCCTCTTTTAGTCATCACATATATATCTTTCCTTATAATAGATAGCTTCAGGAAAGTGGAGAACTATACATCATTCCTCATGGAATTTGAGAGACTGTTGTTCTGTTAAATAGTATTTTTTTTTTTACTGATTTCTCTATTGCCATAGTGAGGCAAGCCAGCTTAAATCAGAAAATGTTTTCGGCACTCTAGCCCAGGCAACAGAGTGAGACTCTGTCTCAAAAAAAAAAAAAAAAAAAAAAGGAAAGAAAAGAAAAGAATGTTTAATGGAATGCTCCAATTATCTTCACTTTTGTGAATGGAAACAGAATCTCTGTATACTTATTCCATGGATTTCAGGTTAACTTGTACAGAAAAGCCATTATACAGTTCTCCAAAATGCAAGTTTTTTGGTTAATGCTTTTTGTGTCTATAAATTTGCCTGATCTGGATATTTTATATAACTAGAGTCATGTGATATGTAGTCTTTTATAGACGGGCTTTCTTCACTTATCATTGTGTTTTTATGGTTCACCTGTATTGTAGCTCAAATCAGTACTTTATTTCTTTTTATTGCCAAATAAGATTCTATTGTTTGGCTATACCAGTTATCAGTTCCTCAGTCGATGGAGCTGTAGGTCATTTCCACATTTTGGCTATTATGAATAATGCTGCTATGAACATTCGTTTACAAGTTGTTGTGCAGACACATGTTTTTATTTCTGTGCCGCTGGATTTTATTCTCAGAGTTAATTGGGCAATTCCACCATCTCTCTGCCTTACTCATGCCGTCCTCCCTCCCTTGTCAGTTTCTGATCATCTAGCCTCATTCATTCAGACCTGGTGCCTAATTTCCCCTTCTTCAGGAAGCTTCTCTGACTGTCCTGACTCTCATTTACCTTATGCTTCAGCAGTTTTTGTCTAGTCTATACAGAACAATTTAACCCTTAATTTTACATTGCTTTTATAATTTTTTCATGAGAGTTCAATCTTGTCTAATTGTAATTTTGCCTAAGGAGGAACTAATGTCTGATATGCGTGTCATTTATTCTTGTATAAATTTAAAATGTTTTAGTTTAACAGTGGTTAGGATAAAATTAAATACTTTGTACAAGAATAATAATTTCTTCTTTGAGGCATTGACATATTAAAGCTTTTATTCTAAATGTATTTTAAGCAACTAAATATAAAATTGAAACTACTTTATCTTACAAAGGAGAATTGTTCAAAGAAATGCTCATGTTTTTCTGACTATGAAAAAAACAGTCTAAATTTGCCTTCCTCCATTATGTAGCCAGAGCTGGATTTATACCCTGATGCCTCTTTATCAACTGAAAAGCTCTGGCTGCACGTAGTATTTCTAAAGAGCAGGACTCTTTTGGGATTCTCTTTGGATTTTAACCATCTTTTTTAAACCTTAAATTACTATACAACTGTTCTACGTGAATATGAACAGTTAACATTTACCAACATATATCAGTCTATTTCTCTTGTGTAAAAAAAAACAAACTTTAAAAGTAGGGTTATAGAAGGTCAGCAAAGGGTTGGCTTGAGATATTTGGGTAGGTTAAGTGGGCATTTGGCCTACACAGCTTCCCTTTTGGCAGTTTAAATGTGATGTTTAATGGACATCCTTCCAGTTTAAGCTGATACTTTTAAAATAAATTATCTTCTAGTTTTGACTTGAACCCTGCCCACTTGATGGGAGAATCAGCAGAAACATGGAATCTTATTTGGAACTG